ACACGTTACATCTCAATCAAAGCCCCCCTCTCCTACCCCTCTTTTCCCGCGTTGTACGGACGTAAGGGTAAATTCGTAGATTTCGAGGGCTACAAATGGACAAAAATAAAGTTAAAATTTTATAAAAATATTTTATTTTCTTTTTTCTTTTAGGTTTAAATTTGCTTTTTCATTTACCTTTCTACAGTTCACAGTTTAAAAGCGAAAAAAGATTGTCAATAGTTACTGCAAGGGGCAGGCGAGGGGTATGCTGAATGACGAAAAGGCCCTTGCCATGTCTGTGGAGATGGAGGGTATTTTCGTCCGTGTGGGAAAAGGACATTGTATTATGGAGCTGCGATGGTTCAGCATGGAGTGCATGGACCTGTCCCTTTTATGTCCAAAAGCTGAGAGGTTATAATGAACGGTAGAGATTGAGTCTGGTTTGTATAGAAGATCTTCGCCGTTGGATTGTGCCATGGTGGGCGTCCTTATCGATGGCCATCCCCGAAGCCTTGTCGCAATCCTAAACTTTTTTTTTAATTATAATTTAATTCTTTTATTAACCAATAATATATTTCCTTTTCACGTTTCATTTTCTTTGCTACAATTAATTATTTTCGTTGGTTGACCATAAAGAAATTCCATATAAATAATACAAATAAATATTTTTAAAAAAACTAATAATTTGTCAAATTATCACCAAATTTATCGAGCAGTTATCAATATAACCAAAGTCGAGACATGTTGCTTTAGTGTCGTGTTGTCTGAATTATAAAGACTTCAAACTATATGTTAGATTAACTAATTCAAATATTAAACTAAAAATATAATTTTATTTGTGTAGGTCCTGTCATAATTTATTTAATGCTCCATTGTCAAACCATGAGTACGAGCATAATTTATTTCAACCATTAAATTCAACTGTAAAATTGAATTATTTTTCTTTTATTTTTCAATTATTCAACGACGATGAATATGACAATTAGAGATGTTAATTTAATTAATGGGACCCACTCCAAACAGAGATGAAAGTATGAATTAGAGAGAGATTTATCTCTATTAACTAAACAGAACTATACTCGGGATTATATTTATAGGTGTAAATACACACGGGTAGTTGTACTTAAAAAATTATAAATAAAAAAAATAAAATAATAATTTATTGTGAGTTGTCATGCACGTGAGGTTCAATAGTTAATTAGTAAAATAAAAGGCCGTGATTAAGACTTAAATTACGACATAAACAAATTAATTGAAATTAAGCAACAACCCCCACGCATGGTTCCCCGGGAATCTCTCTTAAACTCGAGCGCAGAAGGTTATTTAAAAATATTTATTTAATTATTATTTTTTAAATCAAGTAAACTAAATAATATATGAATACACCGCTAAATACTTAATTTTCTTGATTTTTTAAAAATTTTAAAATTAAACAATTTAATACATTTAACTGATTTATGTCGTAAAAAAACAATAGATAATTTGTGAAAATTAATGTAACAAATAAATAGAATAATGTTGTATTGTTGGATGTCGTGTAATAATAAAGATTTAATAATCCTAGGTGATGACTTTCCAATAATTTATTTTTGTTAAACTGTCAGAATATATATTTTTTTATTAAATATTAAAAACAAATTGTACGACTTTTAGGGGCTTTGATTTGCAACTTTGAGACCTGCTTGCACGTGAAGTGGCATGTACAAAACCCAAAACTTTTAATTATACATTTTATTATTTAAATTAATTGCAAACTATTTATGCAAATCCCAAGTTTATACATAAAAATACCAATAATTATTTCTAAAATATCTATTTATTATTGACTATTTTATTTATTTCAAAATTTTGTCTTCCAAATAGTTTCAAGAAATTATTTATAAAAATTACTCGAGAATAAATAATCGTAAAATAGTTATGAAATTAAAATTATATATAATTGTATTCAAGGTAAAAATATAATTACTTTTTTTAAATTAAACATAAATTCGAGTGTAGTCGATGTAATCTCGTTTAATTAGTGTATATCCTTTTTATTCGGGATGTCGCAACTTTTATTTATTTTTTAAATAAATAATTGTCACAATTTTAACGTTAAATCGATAGAGAAAACGACCTCGAAACCCAAATTTTTGTTGAGAAACAAAAAGATAAAAAGGAATGAAATGAAACTATAATACAGTGTAGAAATGAGAGTGGTCCACCAAAGCTTTATTAAGGTTGAAGATGACTTTTAAACAACCATATATAAATAAAATAATTTAAAAAAAAACTTCGTACTAATCCATTATCCATTAATATACCTAATTATCTTATGATTTGACATTTTCTCTTTTATTATTTAAAATATATTTTTGTTATATTTATTTAATTTATACTCAAATAAAAATTTAAATAATTTATAACTATTTAAAAAAGTAATTTATGAAAATAAATGTTTTGTAAATTAGTATTTAAAATTTAAATAAATGATTCGAAGGGTTAAATTGAATATAAAAAAAAATGTCAGAATCCATTAAATTAAGTATATAAACGATATCAAATTGAAATATTTTAAACTATAGGTTATAAATTAAATGAAGACAAATTATTTAAAATAATAGCTTTAAATTGCTTATAAATTGGGGATAATAATAATAATAGTTATTATTATTATTATGGCGTTGGGCGTTGGGTCTATGTGTTAGGGGGAGGTGGCTTAAAAAGGGCTGACAACTCCTTTCTTCTGTCCAATCAAAATCTTACACGTCAGCTTTTCCTCTTCAACTCAACTGTTTTTTTCCCAACATCTCTGTTATTTTGGTTTATTTATTTTAATATCCTTTGTAATTCAATTAAAAAATTAAAAACATTCGTTAATTATTAAAAATATAAATTTTGAAACTGGGATTCAAATATAAACTTTTAAAAGTAACATCAATTTTTTTTATATATAATCTATGAGGTGTTCGTTCATATATTAATGATAACGATATTTATAAACATAGATGAAGAGTAAAAGCTATTGATTGACACTCTCTTTGACGTATCGAAAGTAACAACGTCTACACCTAGAAGCAATGGGACAGTTCGTGACAACCACTCTCTATAAAGGCAAAGACTATCCCTTCACGAGTTACACAATATACTCTAAGTCGTCTCGACACAAGCTTGGGTGGGTACTAACTTAAATTTCTAAGCGTACGGGATCGAGCATCACAACGATACAAAAATTTATATGTGAGATATAATTTCAATTGATTGGAGTTCACCTCAAACGTCACATCAATAGCTACCATCTCGTCATAAAATTGCACCTCAAATACAAAATATAACTAAATGTAAATGTAAGGGTTTTATGAAACGACTCTTAAAGTCAAACTTTGACTAATATATATGAAAGGACCATATATGTCTTTGTATAAATTTGTAAACAATTGAGAGTACATAATTGCAACCACAATTAAAAAAAATCAAATAATAATAATATGTTATTATTAAGACTATTCATAAATGTGACATATGAAAGTAAAATCTAATTCTAATTAATTACGCCACCAACAATAATAAATAAAAATACAAAAAAATAAATATTAAAATTAAATATTTTGGGGGTGAGGAGGCAGTTCAATAAATAAAAAGGACACGACACTAAAATTAAATGCATCAAAATTTAGTTAATGGGAGTGTTACATCATTGGCTATAATTGAAAACCCATTGGGACCCACCAATAAATATTTTTTTATTCTAAAATTAATTACTTTATTATATTTACATCGTTTGATAAATATTATTATTATTATTATTTAATATAATGAATAGACTTTACAAATGAAATATAATTTAATGGGTCATTTAAATTTTTTTATGAGTTTATTAAATACAAAAATTATATTATAAATAATTATTTTGGAATTTATGGACCAAATAAAAAAAAAATAGTAGTATAAATTTGTAATTCTTTTATTATGGGGGAGGTGGTGCTGTGGGACCCATGAATTGATCGGACGGCTGAGGATTATTACGAAATCTGACGTGCCCCGACGGCTGGACCACAGCCCGACACGTGATTTTTATGTCTACAATATTGCCTTCCCCTTCGCGTTGTGTCACCACCACCAACCTTTTTTCTGTTTTTGTCATTTTTCTACGAAATTACCATCTTACCCCGCTAGGTTTAAACTTCAAAATTTCAAATTACTTCAGATTTTTTTTTTTACATCATTGGTAGCAAGGCCCACGTTGGTTAATTTAGTGGAAGATCATGAGTTTATAAATGAGAAATACTATGTCCATTAATATAAAGCCTATTAGAAAAGCTCAAAAATTCAAAACAAAATTACGAGAGCTTACATTTGAGTGGACGATATTATATTATTTTTTATTTTAAAAAATTAATGGTACACAAGAAAAATATGGTTCACATGTAAAAGAGATTCATGGAATAAAACCCACTCAAAATTTTTTTGGTACAAGGTTGAAAATAAAAAAAAATATTAAAATAAAATAATAATAATAATAACTTTATTTATTTTCCTACTAATTTTCAACCTTTATTAGGCACCTTATTCATGAGTTAGGGGAAAAGTGGGATGGCTTTCTAACCTACTCTACTTTAGCTTTTGACCCTCATTTAATTATTATATAATTTATTTTAATTTTATTAAATTACTCTGTACATGGTCGGGAAAATAAGATAAATATTATTAATTTAAATAAAATTTAAATTAATTTGGAAGTAAATATTTATTTATTAACTTAAATATAATTACACAATAATGATCTAAGGAAATCTCTCCCTACAATATTGTCATTGGGCCTATTAGTCTACTAGGCGTCTTTATTGGGCTCAATTAAAAGGCCCAGTTTAATTCAGGCCCAACAATAATAACAGAATTAATTATTATTGGTTAAACTTATTACTAATGATTTCTAATTAACTATTAATTTCAATATATTATTTAAACATAATAAACTACAATTGATTATTATATCAAATTTTGCAATTTGCCCCAAATTGTTTATATATAAGAAACCCTAACTATCTAGGGCTCGTCATTTTCGCGCTTCACTGGAGAGGCGGCAGGCTTTCTTGTTATTTGGGAGCCGGGAAAATCGATTTGCAGAAATGGATTCGGTCCCGAAGGTTTTGTATCCAGAAATCACGATCTTTCTCGGATTTTTAACATTCGTTCTTCTTCCTTGTTTGATTTTCTCTAACTTCAGATTCGAGGTCAAGAATCTCCTTGTTTATTGGGAACTTTATTGATCCGATCCAAAAATTTTCTGGTTCTGATGATTTCGGTGGCGAAATTAGGCTTCTGTTCTTGTTTATTCGGAACTTTGTCGATCTGATCCAAAAGTTTTCTGGTTCCGATGATTTCGAAGGCGAAACTAGGCTTCTGTTCTTGTTTTTTAAGGAAATTTGTGAACACTTGTTCTTCATGGTGCTGATGATGAGAACATTTCAGGCATGAGCCGCAGCAATACGATTGCGCTCCGTGTAGACGAGATCTACATGGGTTGTTGCTGCGATGAAGAATGTGCCAAAATGCTAATCTGAAGCTTATTTTTCTTTACTCATTTTTTTGAATCGATTCATTTTCGTTAAATTAAATCTGCATAGGTTTCAATTATTACTGGATTTTGCATCAATTCATTCTCATTTTGAACTTCGATTTTTTTTTTGAAAGTATGTTTTCCTAGAGATTGGAGTGACAATGACAAAATCACACCTGAAATTATTATTATTATTTTTTCTTTTCAAAATATGCCTTTGTTTAATAGAAACATATAATTCAACAATTAATTTATAACTACTATTCATTTTCTATAATAATGTTTTATTTAACTTTGGTGGTAAATTTTCATAAATTTTAAACAATATTGCAAAAACCACATTTAAGTATAAGATTATTTTAAACGTATTAAAATGCACAACTATCCAATTCGTATAGCATGAACATTATGTTGTAAATAAATATTTTAATGGAGAAATAAAATTTAAATTTTATTTTAGTACGATTTTTAATTTTATCTTATTTCATCTCTAAAATTTTAAAATAATTATTTTAGCCTCTAATATTTTTCAAAATTATCCTCTTTCGATTATGTTTTGTTATTTTATTTATCTAGATCACATTTAAAATGCTTTATGAGTTTATGCTCAAATTTGATAAAATTAAGTTTTTAAATTTATACCGTTGAGTGGTGGTTTTTTCTTATTTATAATTATTTAAAAAAAATATATTAATCTATTATATATAATTAATTATTAAAATTTCATAAAACTCATATATTAAACTTTACGATATTAATCTTTAATATAAAGTTAGATTAAGTTATAATCTTATTTTCGGTGGTCAAGTTATAATTTTAATTTTCATAGAAAATGGCAAATTAAAAAAATAAAAATTTAGCCAACTAATCAAAAAGTGCCACATAAGCCAATCTAGTCATTTTGTTAATTCCACGTCACTACTATTAACCGACCAACGAAACTTTGACTAAAAATGTCCTGTCTAAGACTGTAGGGCAAAAGTGTAATTTGGCTCAACAAAAAATTTAAATTAGTCACAATCGCGGTATCAATGGCGGACTTGGCTAACTGGAATTCAATATTCTGATCCTACGGCCATCGTTCCAACAACAAAGTTTCCTTCGCCTACAAGCTTCCATTCTCTTCAACTCTCAGCTGGCCTTCATATTTGATATTTCTGAGGTTACGTTTTGATTCCATCCCTTGGACTCCTCCTCTTCTGTCGATTCTTTTGGCGGTAGGCGAACAGATTTTGTTTCCTTGTTACCATTTTCCTTCCCTTTTTCTTCGAGATTGCATGCACAACGGAATCGGTCGTATTATTGGTGTAATTTCTGTTCTGAGGTGATTGAATTGAGGTAAGAATCTTTGAATGTTATGCTTTATTGATATGATGTTACACGTTTGTTTGATTCAAAGTATTGTCATCCGATTGATCTTCCTGGCGTTGCTTGGAAGTTCTGCTGTTATTGGTGTAGTTGAAGGAGTGAATTGGGGGTAAAGTAGTAGAATCTTGAGAGTTAAGTAATGTTCCTTGTTTTTCTTTTGAAATTTGTGTGTGAACCAAAAAAAAAAAAAATGGTGGGAAGTTCATAAAATCTATCCTACGCCGGCACTTTGATGATGAATTTTTGATAGGTACGGACTGGAAAAATCTTTGGAGCTTAATGTTAAATTACATATGAACAAGCTTTTTTAGAATTGTATGACGTTTGATTGAACCTCTTTTGGATTGACCATATGGATGTTTGCTACAATCACATAATGATTTTCATTTCCTGCAGTGCCTGATATTCAAATACTTTCATGGATTCATTTTTGGGAAACACCGTGATGAAGTTGGCTTTGAAATCAGACCCTGAAGAGCATCGCGTTGCATTGTTTGTATTACTTCTCTGTGCTTGTATTGTAATTGGGCATCTCCTTGAGAAAAGTCGTTGGATAAATGAATCAGTCACTGCTATTTTCATTGTGAGTTGCCTTTAAATTTGTTGCATGTATTATGGATTTGTGCATCTTCAGGCCCAGGAATTTGAATCTGTGATACTTGTTTGTTGTCTACAGGGTCTTTTCACTGGAACTCTCATCTTATTAACAACCAAAGGCAGAAACTCACGTATCCTAGTGTTTAGTGAAGAGCTTTTCTTCATTTATGTTCTTCCACCCATAATTTTTAATGCTGGGTATGTAATAATGATTGAGTCAGAGTGTTCTTTTTGTTGTTGCAGTGGGTTCATATACTCTTATTTCCAAGCACATCAACATTACTTTATTTGTATAATATAAAGCTTGTACTGGTGCCACCATTGACAAATTTTCTTTACTTGTATGAGTTTTGTTTCTTTCTCGAGATGCCGTAGCTTCCTAACTTAAGATTTCTCTCCTGTTTCAGATTTCAGGTGAAAAAGAAACAGTTCTTTCGGAACTTTCTAATGATCATGTTGTTTGGGGCTGTTGGTACTGCGATCTCATTTTTCATCATATCACTTGGTAGTTTCTCTTATATACTAAAAGTTTCACTCTCTTTTGATGGTGTATATCTAAATTTGTTGGGACATCCTATAATTTCTCAAGATTAACGTTAAGATCCTTGAAACAGGTTCACTACATATATTCAAGAAATTGGATATTGGCTTCTTAGATGTGGGTGATTATTTTGGTATGTTTCTGTTCTTCTTCCTTTATCTAATGTGTGTATAGAAAGCCAGAGCATTATTATCATTCTTATTTTGCTTATGGGATAGTTTAGAACTAGAGTCTGGCTTCCTGCATTTTGTGTGTGCGCATTTTGTATTTTTCAATCTCGGCATCTATGTATTTAGTTGGTAGAGCGTTCCTCACGGTCGACCCTCAACTTTCAGGTTTATATCTATTAAGTTCTTTACTTTAATAGGTAGGTATTTAATAAGTTCCTAAACTTTTAAAAGTTAGGCAATCGAGTTCTCAATTTTATTTCTAATATTAATTTCCCCGGTTTACTGCTTACATCTTCATACTGTCCATATTATTTAAAGATTATACAGTGATTAAAGATTATGAACCTTAATTATATACTTTGTCATTTGGTCTTGTTTGCTATTCAATATATTTTTTCCCATTCATTCATTAATTTGTCTCTTGCAGCCCTAGGAGCAATCTTATCAGCCACAGATAGTGTTTGCACTTTGCAGGTACGTGTCGATTTCAGTGGATTATATGTCACTCAACAATGTACCCATAATTTGCTTATTTTTCTTCTAATGCTGTAGGTGCTTAATCAGGACGAGACTCCTTTACTGTATAGTCTAGTCTTTGGTGAAGGTGTGGTTAATGATGCTACTTCTGTCGTGCTTTTCAAAGCAATCCAGAGATTCGACCTCTCTCACATCACCTCATCCAATGCCATTCAGCTTCTTGGAAACTTTTCCTACTTATTTTTTATGAGCACCTTGCTGGGAGTGATAGTGAGTCTCTTTTTCAACACGTTTTCTCCTGTCTTATTTGCAATAATCTCAAGTCAACCACCACGAATTGGCCTAGTTTCATTGTGACAGATGAAAAAATAAAGGGATTTAGAGGAAATAGGTATAAACCATGGTGATCACCTACTTAATATTTAAAATTGCTCGTTTTCTTGACAACCAAGTATAGTAGAGTCAAACGGTTGTCCTATGAGATTAGTCGAGCTGGTCACAAGTTATACCAAACACTCATAGATACATGAAAAAGAGTAAATCTCAAGTCAAAGTCTATTTGGTGGCATTGAGAAATGTATTTAAAATGATGGACCATGTGTGAACGAGAATAGTATAGAACACTGTTAGGAACTTAAATACAGTGAAGGTGCAAGAATTACAAATATCATATGTTCTGGGAAGAGAAGGGGCAGTATATATGTGATTTTAGAAAAATGTTGGCAGGGGTGGATCGGTCTTTCCATCAGTTAACACTGGAGAAAGCCTCGAGGCTGCATAAACTATTTTATTATTCAAATTTGTTTATCTGTCAACTCAGTTTTTGGTTCTTAGGAAATTGAGACTACTTTAATTCACAGGTTGGGCTGTCCAGTGCATACATCATAAAGAAACTGTACTTTGGCAGGCAAGCACTTTCTTTCCTCCCTCTGTTCATTAAGTTCATTTCTTTTGCTAAACGAATTCCAATGTAGTGTATGAAACGCGACCCTTGTCATTGATAAAAAGGATTTAGATTTACTTGGAACTTCGAATCAGTGGAATTGTCGATTAACTTGCTTATTTTGAGTAGGGTCGGAGGCTTTTTGTATCTGTCATCGTATAAATTTCAAGTTGAAGTCAAACGCTATATGCTAAGCTCTTTCAAAATTTCAGGCACTCGACTGATCGGGAGGTCGCTTTGATGATTTTAATGCCTTACCTTTCGTATATGACTGCTGAAGTAAGACTTCAGAAATATTTGATTTTAATTGATATCATATTTGATTTTGGCTATCATTTGATGATGCAATTGGTTATTTATTGCAGTTGTGCAATCTTAGTGGTATTCTTACCATGTTCTTTTGTGGGATTGTCATGTCCCATTACACTTGGCATAATGTGACTGAAAGTTCAAGAGTGACCACCAAGTATGTTCGTTCTTTCTTTTGGTCTCATTGGATGCTGCTTTTTCATAGTCTAATAATGTATTTTAAAAATTTTGAAGTACTGATATAGTTTTTTTTCCCTTCTGTTGTTTATCGATTCTTGTAGGCATACTTTTGCAACGCTCTCATTTGTTTCAGAGATTTTCATCTTCTTATACGTTGGCATGGATGCCTTGGATATTGAGAAGTGGAAAATTGTTGGCCGAAGGTGAGATTCTTAAATTGGCTATCTTGGAGTTGTGATGCATACATTCATCATTCTTATAAGTGCCATTAAGCAGTTTATCAATAGGATTATTGAAGGATTATCTAACTGTTAAGAATATGAATATAAAATTGAATTTACAGTAACACATCGGTCTAAGCTTATGGGTTCAAATAAGAGTAGGAAATCTCGTGTTTAAACTCCTATGATTCTTATCAACTTTTATTTTACAAGCTTGGAAATTAGCATAACGCTCAATAAGTGGCTATCAATCGAGGGAGCTATAAGAGTAGGAATTCTTGTGTTTAAACTCCTATAACGTCATTTTTGCCCTCGATTAAAA